TGAAAAACATCTATGGTAATAATTTTAAACTCTTCCCCATTGTTATTGGAGCCTCAACACCCCCACAACCGAGGCTCCAATACACGGCCGACACTTGGCCATGTAGTCAACCATGGAGTAAAGTAGGAAGTACATTTAGCATTTTCCATCATAAATAGAATAGATTTTCCTTATTGTCAGATTACTTATCTCTACCCAATCTGAATTATTAGTTGTTTTTAAATCATAGGATGAGAATGTAGCATCAGATGAAGGCGAGGATGATGATAATGAGGAAGATGAGGGAAGGCATGCGCGGATGTTGCAAGATATCACTGGACTGCCTAGCTCTGCTTTTGATGGTATTGCATATGTTTTTTTGTTAACTTGGTGGTGAAAGTGATGAAACTAAATTTTAGGATTTATTCCTTTTGAGGGTCTATGGGTTCTAACACAAGATTTGCCCATTTATCTGATTGTTCTTGAGTTATTAGGCATCTCGGAGGAAGCGGTTTATTCTGACATTTTTTCTAGGGTTGTGTAAACGGCTTATCTTATACTGGGAGGCATTCCCTGTCCGGCTGTCTTGCACTTCATCCTTGTAGCAAAATGGAAATATTGCTCTCTTTAATTCTTTCCAAATTTCAAAAGTATGGTGCATTTGCTGAAAATCACAACTATTAATATGTTAATACCAGTTTTGAGTGGAAACTCATCATATAACTTAAGTACGTGGTAAAATGTTGTTTTCAAAGTTTCTTCAACTCAACATATCATGTGGCAAAACTTTGAATCTTTCTTCATGTATTTGTGGAACTCTTTGCTCTGTAAAATAGCTACTGTGGTGACTTAGGAGCGGAAACNTTCTTCATGTATTTGGGGGACTCTTTGCTCTGTAAAATAGCTACTGTGGTGACTTATGAGCAGAAACTGTCCAATTGGTGCATGTTAATCTTATCACTGTACATCTCTCTACCTTGTCCTCTCCACATATCCGCAACGTCTTCTTAAGTGTATCTAGTTATCAAATTTCAATAGGTTTTCTAAATATTTTCTGAAAGAACTAACCTATTACCAATTGCCAGGTAAAAAGAAGAAGAAAGATCTTATCATATCCGAACCATATCCAGAATCTGAGTATAATCCTAGTCGTGATATTCTTGATGGAGATGGCCGGATTAGCATTCGTGACCTTCTGGACCCGCTTCATGGGAAGTCTGGCTTCAGCAAACTTAGGAAGAACTTCCTCCGAATTGAAAATAAGTCTATGCCCATTCACACACCAATTCCAAACCCAGATCATGAGAGATTGGAGAGATAGGCTGCTTATGAACAATCTAAGAAGGATATT